ATCAGCTTTCATGCTCATCTTCAAGGAATCATAAGTGCCATATCTCTCATCTTTCTTAAGAAAAAAAAAACACAAAATCAACATCACTAAATTGGTAAAAAAAAGTATTCGAGAAACTTCATACCTTTTCGTATATTCAAAGAAGCCGGTCCAGAATGAGAAATTTGAATCTCATCGACTCCTTCAATGAAAGCAAACAAACAATACATTTCATGTCTAAATGGTTTATCTATATGAAGGTTTTCCACAAAGAAGATTCAGGATTGAAAAGTATGATAAATATGCATACCTTTCTTGGTATTTGAAGGAACCAACGAATTTCTCTCCTGCAGTACTGGTTTTGAAGTTTCCCCAGGATGAGAGATTTGAATTCCATTGATTCTTTCTGTAAAACCAAATGATTGAAAATGATCACAACAACAAAATTGGTTTTTTAGCAGCAAACTAACTCGTCGCAAAGGTATAAATTGGGTCCCTAAAAATTTTCAACTACAAACTTATTTCGATTGAAAAATGATCACTATACAAATATGATTTTTAGCAATAAACTAACTCATCCCAAAAATATAAATTGGATCAAACTCAGTTCATTGCCCTTTTGTGGCCTTAGGGTCAACAAAATTCTTTAGAATTTGAAAAATTATAGAAATGAAGTGTAAATCTAAACGTTAGGAATTCAAATTTTAGTAATTTTTTAGAATTAAATTATGAGAAATTTATCTCTTATAAACACCTTAGTTCAGTGGACAAATAACGAAATTAATCGAGGTGAGCGTAAACTAGCTCAGATATTCTAACTATTAAAAAAAAAAAGGTAAAGTATGTAACAAAGAAAAATTACACACCATCCCGTGTGTTTAAAGAGATTGATGAAGATGTCTTCCCAAGTGGTTTAGAAGATTTCCCTTGATTGGGGAAGCGGATCTCATAGACTCCACCTGTGAAATCAAACATATAAAATTAGTTGTTTAATTTAATATGTAAATAAATTACTATCCAAAGAACATTTTTACCTTTCTTTGTATGTAAAGAAGATAAATTCTTGTCTCGAAGAGTTTTAGAAACTTTCTGGGGATGAGAAATTTCGATCTCATTGAGCCCTTCCACGTGAAAAACAGTTAAAAATTATAATTTCAGTAATGCATCATCAAATTTCAAGTATTAAATTCTTGCATCAACTGAAAAATATATACTCTTCAGCCCCCATGATAAACCTGTGGGAGGTTGAGCAATGCCAACTGGTTCGTCGGGTTGTTGAAGACACTTCTGAATACAATTTCCCATGGTTAAAACTAATAAACTCATGCAAGAAGAAAGCCAGAAGCATTATGAGGAAGGAGAGTTGGTTATATATACAGTGGTAATAACTATGCAACTTTGTTAAAGTATTTGTGGTGAAGATGACAATGAAAAAACTTAGTAGAGAGTTTTAAAGGAGTATATTCTACTAAACAAGCAGCATTATAGGCGATGTTCATTAGGCTAAAAGTTTGGCAGTATAAGTTATAATAGCGACGAACTATAAACCAAACGTCTTGATATCGAATCTTCATAACCTCTCGGGGTCAGACATTGAAAATTTATTCTTTATGAATACTCTAGTTTCGGCATAAATAATCTGTCTTTCACCGGACCTGGGAGGAGATTAATCGAGATGCGTATAAGTTGGTTCAAAGACCCCTCACATGGGATGGCATAATCAGATAAGCACTGGACGGATCAGCTCATCTGATGATTGCAGTTCATTTTAGTTCTAAACTAAGTGTAGGACTAGGATGTTTATGTATCATTTTTTGCAACGGTTTTTTGGATTTTTTGGGAAACAATTAAATTATTAGTTGTTTATTGTTATTGCTGGCCTTTTTGAACATTAATTATATGTGGGGCCAGCTGGGAGATTTTTTAACTATATTTTTGTGTTAACAATCACTAAAATGAAGATATTCCAGGAATCTGTTTTGTTCATTTGATGATAATGGTATGATCTGCTAAAAACAAAAGTGGTTAAACAAGGGATGAACTGGAAATTTGTAGCATCTGAATTCAACTTTGTTGGCTGCGAGTTTAACCGAAGAACGGGTAGCCAGTGGATACATGTATTCGGGATTTACGTGACAGTACTGAGTCCAAAAGATGCATGGTTGGGACAAATACCCGTAAAAAACAACCAAATGTGATTTATCTGGTAATCTTTTCCTTCAGCTGCCTCCTCTTTTGTCTAGGATTGTTTGGGTCAATATGATTACTAGTTAAGATTACAACATATTTCTTGAATGTTTTGCTAGTTCTAATAGTTATGATAATTCTGTTGGGACGGCCTCTAATCTAATTGTGTGTGGAAACACAAACACCAATGTATTTTGGTCTACGTTACACCAACCAAGATCATTTAACCATTAACCTGTAAGACATATTGCTAGTAACAATAATAAGGGAAAATTATACGTAGATCCCTTGAACTCTACCCCTTGTTTCACACTGTCCTCTAAACTCTTCGCTTGCTCACATTGCACCTTAAACTACCGGTCATACTTCTCATGGAAAATCATATCAACAATGGAATCCCATGTTGTTAGGAGATCTGGGATTTCCTTACTTAGCTGAGCGGAATTCTATTTTCACCCTGATTTGTCATGAAAAATTGGACAAAAGCCAATGATTCGAGCAATATGAAACTCAAAACCAATAATTTAACATGCAATGTATGGAAGATAGTTTAGTGGACAATATGAAATGCTGGTGTAGTTTAGGGAGACCTAAGCATAATTTACTCTAATAATAAAGGACTTACAGTGTGAAGTATGAACAAGAAGAAATTGTAAGATGACCCCCATTTTTTTCACTTGGTAGTATCAAATGAGCCCAGGAGTTCCCCCAAACACTTCAGTAGGGAGTAGTATCCTCTAGGCAGAGAAAAGAAAAGCCCCTAGTGAAGTGTTTAAGGGGAACTCTAGGGAACACCTGATCTTCCTTCAATGCTTCTACTTTGTTTGCTTTGGTAAGCCCTTGCCTAGAATCCTCACTATTTATAATGTGTTGTTGCCTTCGCAAATAGTCTAAGTGTTCAGGCTCAGAATAGAGATATTCAACAAGCCAAACCCTAGGAGGATGTACCTAGTCGCGAATTCGGGGTAGATGAAAGGAATAGAATCATAGGTGAGTTGAGTGGTCCTGTAAATCCTATCCTTTTTCATTATGTAGTATCTTTGGCCTCTCATTTTTCAGATTTTCTTGTAAATATAAAGCTCTCTGAATCTCAGAAGTTGGTATTGCAATTTTATGTTTGTTTCATGCACATGTAATGCAAGGTCCAGAAGCAACTTTATGTCAAGTTGATTGCAATGGCAATATTCATGTGGGCGACCTTGATTTCTTGACCAAAACCTAATTTCATCGATGTTAAATAACTAATCTTTACTTAGGCGGTCTTGTTTGTGACGTGTGTTTCCTGGGATCGAATTTCGGAAACATTTTGTGTAAGATAAGTGTTGAGATTTAACAACAATTTAAATCCACTAACAAACACACATAATCGAAGAACAAATCAAGAATATAAAACAATAAAAAACAAGAAAGAACAAGACATAGATTTTACGTGGTTCAGCAATTTTCCTACGTCCACGAAACTGCAGGGATTTCACTATTGAGAGAGTTGAATTACAGAAAGCGGTTGTACAATCTACCATATTAATCCTAATCACCAAAACACCGGGTTTTATATGTCCTACGCACTGAGCTATATAACAGGCCCAAAAAAATTTTCTCGGGGGCGTTGTCCCCAAACCCCCACGAGACTTATCAATGAGTGCTACGACTTGGGCCTATCGGCCCCAAGCCTTCGCTCCATGGACTAAGCCTCAAAAAATTTTCATTAAAAAATCACACAACATTACTTCGGGTCGAGTTATCATTCAGATCACATATACAAACTAGACTCTACAAAAAACCAACAATAAGATTGCACATATTTGACTCTCTCAAGTTCTTGCACTTCGTAGTGAAAAGAATCTTAGCTTGTACACTGAACTATGATTATGAACAATAATTATCATTACTTAAAACTAGTTAAGCGGAGTCTAAGATACCATGGAGTAGTGCATAAGCATATGGACTTAGGTAAAATGTACTTGTGTCCATAACCTAATGGCTCTCAATCTAAAAAGTAGGGGTGTCAATTTTTGACTTGAACACAAACCTGACTCGAATCGAATCCGACATGAACCCGAAAATAACACGATTAGTTGACACGAGTAATAAATAAGTCAAATTAAGGTTTTATACGAATAACACGATTAATGAGTACTGTAGATTGAAAATAATTATTTAATGAGTATTGTAGATCGAAAATAAGAATTTTATAATTTTTTAAATAGTATTATATTAGTTATTGTCAAATTAAATAATTTTTTATTAACACGAATATTGACACAAACCCGACACATACCAAAAGTGATACGACACAAAAATAACACGATCGAAAGTGAGACGACACAAAACTGATATGACACGACACGACACGATTGACATCGCTACTGAAAAAGATAGAACTTAGAGATGAAAGAATTGAGAGGGAGAGGAACTTTTGACCACTTCCCAAATTATATTCTCTACCCCTCATCTGACATATAATTCTGACCAGGTTCAATCATCGATTTCTGAACATTCGATTACTTTCGTATCTCTTTCCTCTCAAATTGTTATATGCACTTGTAGAGATCACACCATTTCTAAACTGAAATAAATATACAGACTAATACAATACGTATAGCAGAAGACTGCATGACAAATTTAAACTATTGAAAACAGAGTTGATCGGGTGCCAATTAAGGTTGATCCTAGGTGACATCAACCCCATGACACTGGTTGATGTGTTTTTGGTACTTGTTCTGCACTAATTCATGTTTCTATGTTTTAAGTCTATGTATCGTTACTCATAATATTAACAATGTATTACTTTATGAAAAATTTCAGTGGTTAATAACAACTTTTCTTGCTGTTGATATTTATTGGAGGGATAAAGGCTAACTTTGCTGATGATAGTGTGACTTTATTATGTTGATATTATACGAGAGTAGTACTAGGATGGGTGATCCCCTGGAAAGTCAAGCCATCACAATCGATAATAATATGCGGTTAGAAGATGTGACACTCTTGTTACATTCAGCTCCACCCTTGTAGTTGGGGGAATACTTGGTCCGAACCTACCTCGACTTTGATATTCTCAATAAGTGACCAACACAACTGGTAGGGTTGTGCAATTTCTAACTTGATCTAGTACCATTTGTCACGTTCGTGTAATTCAAAAGCTTAAGTTATTAAGTGAAAAGCCGACTAAAATCTTAAAACTCCATGTCACCCCTTACTCAATTGATGTAGAGCATGACATTGCATGTTATTCTCTATGTATACATACGTATTAGTTATTATTGAATTATATCTATTGATATGTGTAAGAAATATTATGAACATATTATCATTTGTGTAAGATATATCACATATTTCATGTGGTTATAGAGTCAATTATGAAGAGGTATGATGATTGAGATAGGCAATTTTTATGTCAATTACTAGAGTGAGAAATCATGACAAAAATTAGAAAAACTAGGAAAACAGAAAATAAGAAGAAGAAAAGAAACAGAACCAACTAAAAACTGACTCTTGACATTCATAAAAGATTATGAAAATAGAACAAACTTCCTGTAAATGAACCGAATTCGAGCTTGGGCTTATGTTCGAAATTAAACTCAAGTTCAGGGTCATGTGAAGATTAAATTTGGCTTGCTCATACAAATGAATAGTAATTTATTCCATAATATCACACATTTATTCTACACAAATTGTATCTAACTTCAAACTGAGGGCCAAATAAAAATACTAATTAATTAAAGTTGTCAAAACTATAAAGGGTCAAATAATAAATCCCAAAAAATCAATACACAAGGCGAACTAATTATCATCGCGCTTAAATGACCTCTAAAATTGAATTTGAACTCAATCCATTTGATTAGTGCAAGTAGGGTAATCAAGCAGGCCAGTGATGCACTTGATAGAGCTAACACAAATGTAAACAGATCCATCTTCTTCAAAATAAGCTGAGTAATGAAGAGATTCAGTGGATTCTGGATTTTCATAAACTTCATAGTTATTAGAAGCCCTTATAAGAACAGGTTGCAGTAATCTAGCCATTTGGTAGATTTTTCTTGTCATGCATGTGTTTTTAGGGCAATGTTATATGTTAGCCATTAGATTAATAATCAGTTACAAGACTCTCAACATTAAATAAAGTCTATTGTGATCATCGAATAAAGTTTGTCAAGTTTGGTACAATATCATTGTTGGGATTTTCAATTAATAACAAAATATATTCTGTCGAAGATCTTCAAACAATATTTATTGAAGAATGTAAATTTTGATTCTCTTTACAATATTTTTCTTCAATTTCTTTCAATAGTAATTGATAATCGTGATTACCTTATAGATATCCAATAGAATTAGAAGGATACAGGCACACAAGTTTACTCTAGATTAGGTCCCCAAATTAAGTTCAAATAGTATTTTCCTTACTTGAAATGGTCGTACTTGCCCATTTGACAATTGAATATGGTACCTTCCTTTGGAATAGTTCAGAGTCCTCGTCGAACAAGCATGCATGACCATTTCAAGTAAACTTTTTTTTTTTTTTTGGGATAGCATCGCAAGAGTACTCCAACACGACATCACACTATGAGGAGATTAAACCCGATACATCCAATGCCACACAAAATAAGAACAAATTATAAACTCAGACGTAATGAGTTTAAAAGTTGACAATTTTCTTAAAGTCCGGCTATGAATGATTTATTCTTTATTGATTTTTTAACTCGGACATAGATGCTCTATTTTTGACCGAACAAAAAAGATGATTAGTTGATGTATGCATAAATTGATTCGAACACTTTGACCGTGATATTAAAAAAAAATCTAATGCCACAACCCTGATGGACGTCAGGTCCAATTTAAAGTAAACTTAGCTCAAAGGGAATCATTAGACAAAGAGGCACTGTCATCTTTGAATAGAATTTTCTAAAGAGTAGACCAACTACTTCAACATTTTCAAATATATATTCGACTGTTCATGCCAAATGATGATGAGCAGCATATATCTCAATCAACATTTATTTATTTGCAACAAAGTGATGAAGTTTTTTTTTTTTTTAAAAGTATATTGAATTAATTTTCAAATGTATACAAACATTGTAAATCTGTACCAATGCAAAAAACAAATATGATAGTTGAAATATCCAAACCAATTCTAAAAAATATATTCTTTGTCTGGTCTGCCTCAAAAAATGCAAATAGTAATTCTACAAACCTGTTTAATCAGTGTTTTGAATCCTTTTTTAAGTGGTTTAGCTACCATGTGAACTCAAATACGATTGTAAATAAGTTTGATAATTTTCAAAATATCAAATACATTTAACGAAATAAATAAAATTAATACTGACTAATACTTAACACAACACGACATTGTCATCATCCTTGGTGCCGTGTGTGTATATTGTAGAATATATTCTAAACTTGCCAATCCATGGCTTTTACATTCATCAGAATCAATCTTGTCTCTCTAGTCATCCTTCTCTGTTGGTTTATAGCAGTGGACAATACAGTAGCAGAAGTAAGAAGTCCTTCTCCCTCAATCCACTCATCTCTCTTGCTTTTATCTCATTACTGTATTATTTCTAAAGCTTAGCGTTTTGTAGGTTTTTTTTTAACTATAACTGGACTCTTTATGGCTTCATTCAGTGGTTTAATTATGGCGGCAACATAACTAACCGGGGGATTGCTGATCAACCCAACAGACATATCTGCAACACCAGCGGTGGCAAATGGGGCAGTGTACTTCCCATCATGGAATGGATATTTGTATGCAGTCAATGCCTTCAATGGTACTCTTATATGGAAGCAAAACGTCGGCGAGTTAACTGGGTTGCCGGGAACCGGGACTGTGGTGAACGTGTCGGTGTCTAGAGCCACTCCGACGGTGGCCGGAAACCTTTTTTATAGTCGGAATTTATGGACCTGCGGTGGTGATTGCCGTCTCACGGTGGACTGGAGAGCTTGTTTGGTCGACTCGGATTGACCCGCGTCCTCTAGTTCTCATCACTGCTTCTGGAACAATACACTTAGGGTTTACTTTCACTCTCCTATCCTTCTTTCATCTTTTTAAAAGTTGAGTAATGTTATTGGAATCTAATTTATTGACTTAATTTGCTGACTTAATTTACTATAATCTTTGGATTAATTGTAGGGTCTATCAAACATTGAAATTTAATGTTGATCCAATAGTTCTACTATAACTACATCATTATGTTAATAAATTAAGTCAAATTTTTAGATTCAAATAGTATTACTCTTAAACGTTTACATATGATAATAGTTCTTGGTGAGTTTTCGTTGTTGTATTTACTGTGGTAGGCATTGGTGAAGTTTTTTATATTTAAAAAAATTAAACAATTTAGTAAAAATAAGGGTAAATATCATAATTCGTTATTAAAATTGACATCCAAGTTCAATTTGATTCTTGAACTTTTAATTATTTCAATTTAATTATTCAACTATCAATCTCATTTCAATTAAATTCTTTAGTTTGTATTCACCGTTAAATCAATCAGTGACTAGTTCAATCCGGTCCAAGTGTTATATGTGTTTATTATTTTGATCTAATGGTAAATGTGGGTAAAAAAAACTTGATTAAGATAAAATTGATGGTTGATGAGTTAAATTGAAATAACTGAAAGTATAGAGATCAAATTAAAACCACAGACAAAATTTAGAAACCAATTTTTACCATAAAAAGAATTTTATATAAGATTAAATCAATTAATTTTGTTCATACCATTTGAATAGTCCAATCGGCGATGGATGTTAATTAAAATTGAGACCCCTTTAGGCATTCATGACATTTTCTGTTAGCTATCATAAGGACCATTTCAACTCAAATTATAAACTATAGGTTGGTAACAGATAAATTGGTAGTTTATAGACCAAATAAGCAATAATTCAAGCATACTTGAAAGACAATGTTTTACGGATTAAAGTGATAAAATTAGAATTATTTGAGACCAAATTGATACGGGTGCACATTTTAATTGTACTTTTTACTTATTTTTTTCGGAAGGATACTTTTTACTTGTTAATGTATGCTATGGTAATTATTTTGTATAAATATTTCTAAATTAATACAAAAGTAGTATCATAACTCTTGTCCAACACCATCACTCACTTTCCTAACTTTAAACTTCTAAGAAACCCTACCAGCCAACCTATGTTACACTTTCCGGGGCAGCATGGTGAAGCTAGATGTTAAAACCGGTGCAATTTTGTGGCGAACCTATACACTTCCAGATAATGGTGGCAGACTAGGAGGCTCACCGGGGCAGCTATATGGGGAGGCATCCCCGCCATCAACATTGCCAGGGGGATTGTTTACGCGAGCACTGGCAACCTCTACACGGCTCCACCAGAGGTGTTGCGGTGTCCGGAAGCTCAGAATAATCAAACAAGACCAAGTAGTCCAGATCAGTGCATTGGACCAGATGTTAATTTCAACTCAATTTTGGCGTTTGACATTGGTTCTGGAAAGATTGTGTGGTCTAAGCAACTAGGGGGCTATGATATTTTTTATTTTGCATGTTTGGTTCCTAATAATCCTGATTGTCCACCGGGACCTAATCTGGATGCTGATTTTGGGGAGGCTCTGATGCTGCTAAGCATATTTGTCAATGGAACGATACGCAATTTGGTGGTAGCAGTGCAGAAAATTGGCTTTGCATGGGCTCTTGATCGTGACAATGGCAATATAGTTTGGTTTAAGGTAAGTACATAATTGATTGTTGGGTATGGGATCGCGATGCCTTAGTGATTTCTTTATAAGGGTAGTGTCAGCCGACTCAACCCCTAGGACGAATAGTCCTAGTTGTAGTGGGCTGTCCTCCACAACCCTTAGGAATATAAAACGTATACGAATTCCACTTTATTACCAGATTTTCTTTACACGGGTAGTTTTATGCAGCTATTGCAAAGCTTTGTGGGTAAAATATGACTAACACATGAGTGAGATTAATAGGTAATGCTAGAGTGACAAAAAAGTGGGACTTAGATAATATGGTGCTCATGTGACGGTGCTAACTAAGCAAAACGTCAATTTGGGGCTTGATTTTTGGACCTAAATTTTGTAGGTCTTTTTAAATTTCTACGAAACAAAATTTTGAACATCGATTTGGCGCTAGTCTTACATTTTTGTTCAGAATTTTTTTGATTGGTTGCTACTGTCACACTAGTACCACACCTTTTGGTCACAATTTTTCTTCTTATTTTGTGTCACTGTAGCATATTATAGCCCTACTTGATATCTTCATACTGAACTGGTTATTAATTCACTAAGAACTTTACTATGAATTTTGTAGTTGGCTGGAATAGGAGGCAATGAAGGAGGAGGGACATTGGGGCGCAGCCACAGATGGAAAGAGAGTATACACAAACATAGCCAACAGCAACAGAGAAAGCTTCACACTTGCACCATCAACCCAAACCACAACAGCAGGTGCATGGGTGGCCCGGGATGCAAACACTGGCCAAATCCTATAGTCCACTGCAAACCCTAGCAATGACACGTCGCAGGGCCGATCACGTTGGCCAACGGAGTCCTTTTCTCCGGCTCTGTGGCTCCTAATGGCCCTCTATACGCCATGGATGCGAAAACCAGGACTATTTTGTGGTCATTCAAGACTGGTGCTACTATATATGGGGGAGTCTCAGCAAGCTATGGCTGCATTTACCTTGGTAATGGATATACAGTTGCTCCGGGAACTTTCCACCCATCTTGGACTCCACAAACTTCACTCTATGCTTCTGCATTGCATGAAGTGATTGTTGCGTCCGCCAAAACTTTTATCAAATTTTAGATCCTAAAAGATATGGCACATAGTCAAACGTTTTAGTACGTGTTTTAGTGGATGAAACATTGTCGTTGCATGAAAGACTTGACCTTGGGACACGGTTGTTAGCTGACTAGGTGTGCCACTGAGTAGTCTCCTGAAGATTTGCTCAGTGTGTCCTTCAATAAATGTTTTGAGCGTCTTTGAAATTTTTCAAGAATAAGATACATTGACTAATCGAAAAAGAAGACTCGACATTTTGAAAGTGACTGAAGATTGAAAGAAGAATTTTTTGGATTGTATCATATAGGCCTTGTAAGAAATAAAATTTTTACTTGTCTTAGTTTCTGAGTATTGTTGGGGGAAGCTGAAAACATCCTTCACTCAAGTGAATCTGGTCAAAACTGCCTTTGATTTCGGCCATATAGTATTGTTTGGCTTCGAGTAAAAGCAAGAGCCCAGAATTTTTGTTTATCCCAGGCTAAGTTAAGCATTCATACGACTAACAAAATATAAAATGACAGTGAAAATTCTCAGTTCATTAGATAAGTCTCTATCAGCCTCAGAGAAAGCTTTTTGATTTCTCCAAATAGAAACTGTTTGTAATACTATTAAAAACCATTTTGAACTGTTGAGCTGTATAAATTAACTGAATTGCGAGTCACTCTTAAAACTTTAGCCACCAGATATTTGTGATTTCAAAGTATTTTCCGCATTTGTATGCAAAATGAAACTACTTACAAAGGGCAACAAGAGCACCACCTTAGCTAAATGACCTTTCTGCACAATTTTTTGAATTAAAAAATGTTTAGTGAAACTTCTTACCTCATCTTTTTGCCGTAAAACAAAAGATAGAACAGAAATTATCTGCATCTTGGTGGTGAAGTGAACTATCCCGAGCAACCCTTTCAGTTGTTGCAATGAAACTATGATTGCCGCACCAGCCATGAACCCAACAAAAGTTGCCTCGAAGAGAAAATCAATCACAATCATAACCTGTAAATCACCGAATACACATTTAATTGTGTGTGGGAACACAAATGTAAATGCTTTGCTAATATAAGTTTTCATCCTTTGGAAATACATATATTCCTAATGTTTTCCTCAAATTTCTAAGTACGAAAATATTTCTTCAAATTTTTAAGTACCTTTCTTCTGACTGATTTTTGTTAATATCAATTCAGAGCCTCACCCAAAACATTGATTAACAGAATCAAGATAGTAGTGAAATTAGATTTACTAAACTACTACATTGATTCTTTAAGCCCACTTGTTTCCCTTTCAATCATACTGGTACTAATAATTTCATCTTAAAGGTGTTAATCTGGGACATAACCATTGTTCTAAATCTAAAGCTTTTTATGATTTATAGTTATAAATTATACCAAAAGGCATATCTTTCTCAAAAGGTGTTTCCTTTTGGCTTTATTGAGAAAGTAATCTCCATTTGTAAAAAAAAATCCCATCAATCCTCATAAAGCAAAATGGATATTGAACATAAAAAACAGATCCACAATATTAAGTTTAGATTGCAACTAATTGTTTATACCTTAGAAAACCCAAAGTAGCCTGAAATAAACCAGCAAATAAAGTAGCAGTGAAAACCAATTGAAGATAAAGAACAAGCTCCTCAGTATAAGAAACCGCCTCACTAAGTATTGTGCCCGTGACAAGAGAGGCAATTGAGATTGAACCAACAGCTAGATTGAAATTAATCAGACAAAGCATAAACGTAAATTAACCGAATCAAATTCAAAAAATAATGGAGTTCAAAATGCACAAATAAGTAAAAAAAAAAACAAGAAAAGGAACAGAGAAGCGTGGAGAAACCCTACCCATGCATGAAAACTTCAACATCTTAAAAAATCTTCTTTTTGCAATAGTAACAATTCTTTAGAAATCCCCCAACCATCTCGTATCACTCTGATCAACACTTTCTTGTACCGGAGACGAGAGAGTCAGAATCTTCGGGCTCGATTGATAGACTTTCTCAACCATCGAAGTCTTCAAAACCTTATTAGGATGGTGTTTGCATAGAAGAGGGATAGGGGGGGGGTTTTTACAGTAAAGTGGCAACCTGAGAGAAAAGAGACTGACTTGATTTTGGGGGAAGTGACTGGCCGCTTGAGAGAGAAGACATTGCCGGCATGTATTTGGCATGATTTTGGGAGAAGTGACTGAGAGACCGTTTGAGAGTGAGAAGAAACTGAGAGAGACCAACTGAATTTAGGGGAAAGTGACCAAGAGAAGAGAGAGATCAACTGATTTGGGGGAAGTTTTGTAGATGGACTAGGTTGGGTTAGTTGGGTTGGAGGGGATTTTTTTTGGGGGTTGGGCTGGTACTTAGTAGTAAATTTTTATTTTTTTTTATTCTGGGTTTTAGCCCACTTTAGCCCACTAGTAGATCCATACCATCCCTAAAGATGTATTGACGTACTAGATCAGCTAATGCTCCCATGTTGATGCAATGTATTCCACCAGTTGTTGCTCTTCTTTTAGCTTAAACATTAATTACAAATTCTCCGTTTTAGAGAAATCAAAAAGTGTGAGCGCTTGGAGTGAGCCCATACCAATCTTTTGGAGAGAAGATATCTTTGACTTGTCCATGATCGAAGGCAATGTCGAATTTATTTCTACCATGCAAGAAGGGAAACAAAAATAAATCATAAAAGAAACCAAAAAAAGAGAAGAAAGTAAAGATTACTTCATAACCGGTACACATTTGAGGTTAAGCTTTTAGGTCAAGTTTGAGTTCAACTGTACATTAATGCTTTACCAAAGTTCTCCTTCCTACACTAACAATCTAGAAAAATATCATTTATATGTGAGTGGGAGTGTTGGAGTTCCAAAGCAAAAAAAAAAAAAATCTGTCACATCGGATAGCAATAAAAAAGTAGATGACTTCAAATATAAATATTACAATAATGGTATTCAGATTTATGTTGATTACTCTGTCAAACTTAGCGGCTCGTCTAAACTGGATTAGAGCATGTCCCTAAAGAGACAAGAGTGGTTAACCTTTAAAAGATGTTGGAAGGGATTAAACTTAAATTTTTTGAATTTTCAAAAGTTAGACTTAACTATTAAATCACTCATAAGAATTAAATAGCGAGTTTGACCTTGAAATTTGGGTCAAAGTTGAGACCAGATTCCAAACAGTGCCACTGATCTTGGTTAGTCATCTACCCTATTCAACTAGAAAGAGCAGTAGCTTTAGGGCTGTGAAACAAATAGAACCCTAATGCTATAAAATAGATACACTAAAATGTGAGGAATTTTCAACCTATTACACACTAAATAATGTCAGGTGGCACCCAGAGTTCCCCCAAACACTTCAGTGGGATAGGATTAACCTTTACTCTAAAAAGAGCATCTCAAGATAATCCCAGTGAAGTGGTCGGGAGAACTCCAGGGGAGACCTGACGCTCTCTCTCTCTCTCTCTCCCTTCTTACTTCCTTGGCAAACTAATACACATCAAACCACCTATTTATAGCAACTTGATAAGTTCATGTTATTGTATACATTTGGACATGCAGGACCTCGTTTGGGAGGAAAGAAACCAGGGTAAGTACATTTGGAGAGCTTGAACCTGGCCGGGATTTTGGGTCGGATGATAAATAAGGAATAATATGGAGGCCAGTGACCACAAATTTGCCCTCTGCCAATCTGTGTTATCTCGCTTTCCAACTTTTTCTTTGAAATATGCTCTTTTTTTGAAGCAACGAGATCTTTTACGGGTATAAAAAGATCATATATACGCAGTCTTATTCTTACGCTCAAAAGAACTATAACATTAAAAACTATATTACTTATGTGAAGGACGTGTTTATAATAACTAAGTGCATGAGGTCAAGCACTCTCATATAGGATATGGGTAAATGCAGTAGAAATATTTAATTTTATTTTATTGTTTTTGCTATTTAAAAAGTTGGAAAGGGGCCACCAGGATAGTGTTTTCTAGGCATGACTTAAGAATTCTTGCTCGCTACATAATGTTTAATTTAAGTCATAGTTATTAAACTGAAAATGGTCGAACTCGTCATTATATCCCCACCGAGACGCAGATGAACATCCAATCCCTTCTCAATAGCATCTAGTTCACACAACTTCTACCACAAGCAGATTCAAACAAAAATGTGGATTGGTATGAAGTTGACGAGACTGTAAAGGATACAACAGAAAAAAGGTGGAATGGTGAGGCGCCGACTGACTTACTTTCTCTACCATGCATCTACCCTGCGGTCACGTCTAGGTTCAGTCTTCACTGCTTTAAGATTCAATACCCACAGCTTTGTAGACTGAACAATCTCCAAATATCCTTTGGTGAAGAAAGCTTGAAATACTTTACGCATTATCAAGTCGTACAGCCTTAGTTCAAAACGGACAATGTAGTTAAGCCTTTGCATTCACATCCAACCGAAAGATGGATGGGGTCGGATGGTAGCAACTAGCGTGGTAGATTGTGGTAACTCGGACCCATCCCATTAATTCATTTAATAAAGTGTGTGTGTGTGAAGTGTTTGAGAAATGTCAAATTTTATATAATTCTAAATCAAAATAAATAATATTAAATGCTGCTTGATATTACGTATGTAGAAACTAATGTACGCATTACGACACTATAAATAGTGGCATTGGCACATAGGTCGGCATGGCTTCCCCAAGCAATTGAAGCAAGACATCAAGTCAGATTTCCCCTAGAGTTCCCTTGACCACTTCACTCGGTACTCATTGTTAGTAAAAAAGCATTGTTATCCACTGAAGTGTTTGGGGGAACTCCTGGGGTTATTTTTTTTTTCGGAAAGTAAAGTAGAGATGTATTGCATATCAAAAGAGATCCCCATGGTATTACAAAGTATGATAAACAAATATGTGAGAGGTGTCACCTCAGACATATTTGTCAAAAGAAAGTTTCCATATGAAACGAATGATGAAATTGGAAAGTTACACAAAACAGTTGCTTAAGAGTTGCAGTTTTTCAGAAGTGGCGAGATTCAGCCGAGAGCTTTTGAATTTCAGAGATACGAGTCTCTCCCTTACAATTTGCAACATGACTTTGAAAATAGTGCTTGGGTCCTTTGCCTTGTTAGCGAAAATTCTGGTGTTTCTTTCCATCCATAGATAGTAGAAAGCAGCTGAGAGACATAGCTTTTGAAGGACTGTGAATAATGACTTCCCTTTCCAGTGAAGTGCAGCCCATGAGACAAAATTAGTCCAAGGCATGCATTGCCAAGAAAAGTTAAAGTGTTGGGTGAGTAAACTCCAAACTCTCTAATAGTATTGGCACTCAAAGAACAAGTGAAAATGAGACTCAATACCTTCACCACATAACACACACTCCAGGTCATGGTGAGGGGCATAAACATGAATTTTGTCATTTGTTTTGAGCCTAAGGATGAAACTTAGTCTGGGAACAGATTGACTATAGCGTACAAGTCCATGCTAAGGGACCACCTCTGCCTTTGTTCTAAGATGTTCCCATGCAGTTTTTGAAGAAAAGGAACCATTGGAGGTGACGGACCACTTGACTTTGTCAAGAGTATTCTGGTTTGGCAAATAAAGGGGCATGGAGTTTGAAATTTCCAAAGCTTCCCCTGATGGATGTGGTGGCCATTTCCATTGATTGTTATGAATGATGGTGCTGACTTTTGTTGCTCTTGAGGTGTTTATTGACTGGAGGATGCTTTGGTCATATCTCTGAAGCAAAGGCCCCAATGGATGCCAATTGTCAAGCCAAAGAAATGTGTCCTTTCCATTCCCAATTTTGTGGAGGAGAAAAGGTTTGAAGGCTTCCCTCATCTTAAGCAAATTAAGCCAATTCCATGAGCAGCATTGAGGAGTCTTGACACCCCAGAGAGATTTTCCTTTTAAATGAAAAATGTGGATCCACTTGACCTAGAGGTTGTGTTTATCATGGAACAACTTGCATAGATGTTTGAAGAAGATGGCTGTATTCCATTCTTTGAGCCTTCTGATTCCTAGTCCTTCTTCCTTCTTTGGGAGGCATACATCATGCCAAGAGACTTTAGCAGCGGAGGTTCTCAAATCTGTGCCTAACCATAAGAAGGCTCTCCTTATCTGCTCCATCTTATCACAAGTTTGCTGTAGTATTGCCAAATATGAGGCCCAAAAGATTTGAATGCTGCTGAGTACTAATGTTATAAGTTGAAGTCTACCTGTGATGAGTGGGATGCCAAGGTATGTGATGGGCATTGAGTATTGGGGTTATTTGATAAATTATAAAGAGTACAAAGAGAAGGCGAATTTTGGCGTAATGGTAAGGTTATTCCATTGTGACTTATAGATCACTTGTTCTAGTCGTAAAAATAAAATCATGGCTTGCACAAGGTTACATATATCTAATCCTCAACAGACCACACAGTGACGAGAGTCTCTTGTATTAGATACGCTTTTTTTATGAACAGTGTGAGAGCTGGTGATATTACTATCAATTCCTCATATGTCAATATTGCAGGCAAATTTGAACTCATAGATTTGGGTTCTAGTTGAAAACTTGCAAGTCTTTCTTTTAAATTGGTGAAAATTAGAAGTGAGTCCTCCAAGATGTACTTGTTTGGAGATAAGGAAATTTATAAAGGACTAAATTCATATTTAAAATTATATATAATGACTTAAGTCCACATTTTTTTTATCTCCAAAATACTCTTCCTTAAAAGAATGTTAATCTTTTATCTCTCATATCTATCCATATCCGTATATAAGTTAAGAGTTTGACTAATATTAAAATTTTCCCCCTCTTATCTATCTATATCCATATATAGTTTAGGTGTGTGTGTGTGTGTGTATATATATATATATATTAAAAAAAATTGTAACATTCAAATACAAAAAAAAAATTACAATGAATTTGAATAGTAAAATTCAAATTCATGTTACTACTTTTTTATTATGTTATTGTTCATATTACTGTTTTTATTGTGTATATTACTGCTCATGTACTATTATTTTGAGCATGCTACTGTTTTTATTGATCATATTACTACTATTATTTTCCTAAATATTAATATTCAATGTTACTATTTTTTTTTTTTGAATATTACTATTTTTTGTATTTGAATGATATTATTTTTTGCGTTTGAATTTGACAAAAATAATTATTGTTAAGTATGTTACAGTTTTTGTTAAACATGTTACTATTTTTGTTGAACATGTTAATATTTTTGTTGAACGTGTAACTGTTGTTATTTTTTTAAAATATTAATATTGAATGTTTTAATTTTTTTATGTTTAAATCCAAAAGATAAAGAGATGTCTAGATCGTTTTGAGACAAAACATAAACACATCCAACGGACAACGTAATCCCAACATAAAAGACGGTTCAGATCATCTCAAAAATTTTGATTTAACGGTCTACAGTTAGTCTTGAATTTCTTTTCCCGCCCATGAAGAAGTCTCTTATTATAAGACTCTACACTCCTATCTTTCATACGTCTCTATCTTAAATTTGAAAAAACACAATAACAACTTAGATTGAATTCATTTTAAATTAAATGATCTAAATTTTATCTAAATTCATCAAACTTAATTAATCCAATGGCTCACAACACATCTCACACAAAAATAAAATCCCACCACGGGCGGAGC